TGATGCAGATATGGAACTTCTTACCCAGAATACTAAATGGAGAGGTCTTGGAAAGCTTCCAGAAGTTCGATTTTAGAAAAAAAAAAAAAAAAAATGTTGCTGCCATAGCCTGGGGCTGTGAGTTCCTTGTCAATTCCAGTCGGGTGCTTATTTTTATTAATTTCAAACTTAATTTTATTTATTTTTTCCCATAATTTTATTGAGAAACAAATAGGAATAAGACAGTTTCAAACCAAACTGGTAGGACAATTTCAATAATTAACACATTGCATACATTCTTCCTAGTGGTTAATTGCTGTACAAGGTGCAGACATGATATCCTATTTACAAACACCATTAGAACATATCCCTCTATTCATTAAGAGAATATAACTATGTATCTATCCTAAGCATTTTGAATACACAGATACAAAACGGACATTCATCTGTATCCCCTTTGTTCGTTTAGTTCTGTTATTTGAATACTATAGGTGTGTTAACTCAGCAAAATATTCTAAAAGAGTCCAGTAGCCCATAATAGTATTGGGTCTTCCGCTTCACTGACAATGTCAGAAATTGACTAACTATATATACTAAGCAACTGCACTGAAGATGGCAATCTGTAATAGTAGATTCATGCTTGGAGTACCTGTCATTCTGTTCTTCTGAATATGGGCTGTTTGTCATGACATGCCAGTTGCTGCTGTGCTGTCTCTCAGGTAGATGATTGTTCAAAAAGAAAGGGGTGGTGAATGAAGGCAGGAGACAGGAAAAGGAATATTGTGGGACTATCCTGCTTCAAGGTTGTATATGGTTAGATTTCTGGATTTATGTGTAAACATAAGAATTATATAATTCTTTATGCCTATTTTTAAAACACATTTTAACTTTTTAAAAATGTTTTTTCATCATATTGTGTAGGGACTTAAAGTTCAACATATCAATACATGATGAAAAATACCTGTTCCATGTTATGCCTAAGATGTTTGATATGCAGACAGATAGTGAGGTTAAGCTTAACAGCCTAAGTTATATGGTAATAACAATAAGCTTGTCTTCTGGATGGTTAACAACCTAAGTTTGCAGACCAAAATTAGAGAAAAAAGAGTACCGCAAGGAAAGCCAACATTTTGGCCCTAGCCTTCCAAGGTCAATTAAGACTCAGGACATATGAGAACTTGTACTGTAACATAATGTAACTCGTTAGTGTCCCAAATTTTCTGATCAAGGAGATTATGGGGCCAAAGAGGAAAGTGATCAATGATGTACAGTCGGGTGCTTTTGGGTACCATATGGCAGCTGCTGGGAGACTTGAAGCCAGGACAGTGCTCCAAACTCAAAGTGTTAGTGCTGATGTCCCAGTACAATGTGAACATCAATGTGAAAGGCTTAAAATACATCAGTGAGAGCCCTGGGTTCATCCCTTTGCTGTAGTGGCTTTTCAGATGCAGAAGCGTGTCTTCATGCTCTCCACCTTGTCCAGTCTGTAGTTCTGGAGCCAGAAGTCTTCTCCAAGGCAGCCTCTCAGTTCCAACACTTGCTGCCCCTGCAGTGCACTCCAGCCATGTCCAAGAACCGCAACCCCTGCCTGCAGGCTGTGGCCCAGGAGCAGCTAGAAAACCTCTGCACCCTGGAGCACAGTGTGCCATCCCTTTCCCTCCTCAGCTTCTTCACCTTGTGTTCAAAATCTTCTCCCTGAACCATGCACTAGAGAGGCAGCCTGACTAGAGATAGGCGTGAACAGATGTGTGTCCCACAGCACTTCGTCCTGTAGGTGGTGTGCTGTGTGCTCTTACCCAGAGGAGCCTCAGGAGACCCATCCCTCTGCAGGGGTCACTCTGTGCTCTCTGGAAGAGGGCTTTCTTTGCAGGTAGCCTGCCTGGGACCTGGAAAATGGGAAGTTGCACAGCTATCTACTCGCCGTTAGCATTTTCCTGAGATGTATTTCTCTGAAAAACAGTTCAGTCTGACTCTAGTAATTATAATTAATCCACCCAAATGCAGGATTGCCTCTATTGCCTCTTGGTGAACCTGTGATTCCAGATAATATCTACATTTGAGCTATAATTTTGTGCCTCTCTCTCTCTTTCTCTCTCTCTCTATATATATGTATATATATATATGTATATATATTATTTTATATGTATATATAATATATATATAAGTTTTATTGAGAAAGAAGTAGCAATGGGACAGTTTCAAAACAGGTTGTAGGACAGTTACAATAATTAATACATTGCATATTGTTGTCTGTAGTGGTTATTCATAGTACAAGATGCAGACATGGTATCTTGTCTCAACACTATTAGTTCAAAATTTTCTTCTCATTGAACTAAGAAAATAGCTGTATATCTATGCTATTTTGTATATACAGATATATTTTTTTCACTACAAAATGATCCTTCATTTATATCTCCCTTTTTTGTTTCATTTTGTCAGAGAAGTGTATTCCATTGCCATTCACATATTGTAGGTGCATGAATTCAGCAAAGTAATCCAATATAGTCCAGTAGTCTATAATAGTAAAAGGTGAAAGATTTATACGGTCTGAAGAGAAACCAGAGTATAACAGTAGTCTATAATAGTAGTGGGTTATCCACATGACTGGCAATGTCAGAAGTTGTTGACTAAAAAAAAATTTGTGCCTTTCTTATTTTTGAATAAAGTCAGAAGAATCAAAAATAAATAAAAATAAAGGTATCTTATTTTTGAAGTGTGAGTAAATTTCTAAGAACCAAACAAATTCTTACTTAATCAATATAAATGGACCAACTTGACCATAAAATAAATACCTTCCAAAACTTCTTTGTTGAGAGGCTTTATCAGATTTTTAAAAATTAGCATTGCTAATCAGCATGGCTTATAAGATATCATCCAGTGATAGCATTACCTTAGTTTCATTTGCAGTGGGGTAAACATCAGATGTCTTCATCACTTTCTCATCTCTGGAACAAAATACCTGACACCCACAATTTAATGGGGAGGCTTATTGTGGCTCGAGGTTTGAAGCCGCAATGGGGGTCCAAGGCAGAAGCAGCATGGCAGGAGGAGGGGGGATGGAGGAAGAAAAGGTGCTCAGCTCATGGTGCCCAAAAGCGCTGATGGGAAGAGCTGGGACGGGAGATCATGGTGATTATGCTTTTAGAAACTATTATATAGTGTAAATAAGCACTTTATTTGTCCCCAGCACCTGAGATGTCATCTCTAGACCCTTGTAATCTCCAGGCTAGGAAGTGCTATGAGATAGCTGGTCACCTGGTGACCCTCAGAAGCTTCTGGTGACCCTCAGAAGAATGAAAACTGTTCACTACAAAGACCAAGCCATGAGTCTAGGGTTGGAACTTTTACCCGTTCCCTACTTTACCCCCTTACCTTTACACCAACTTTGAGGAAGAAACAGGAACTAGAGATTGAGTTAAACATCAGTGACCAATGATTTGATCAATCAGACCTCTGTGATGGAACTTCTATTAAAATTCCTATTGATGAGGCTGGGAGAACTTGTGATAGGTGAGCCAGTCGAGGTGCTAGATGGGTGGCATGCTCCATGCTCATCCCATGTAGCCCTTCCTGAGGTCTATCTTGTGTAACGGCTGCTAATAATAACTAAGAGTGCTTTCCTATGTCCTGTGAGCCATTCCAGTGAATTACTGAACCAGACTCAGGGGTATGTGTGAGAAAAACCACTCACTTTTGAACCAAGTAGAACAGAAATATGGGCAGCCTGGGGACTCCATCTTAGCAATTGGCATCTGAAGAAGTGAGGGCAGGCCCCAGAGTCTGAGGCTAACTTTGGGTAGTTAGTGTCAGGATTAAATTAACTAGGACAGCATAGGTTTGGTGTCTGGAATTAAAGAATTGGTTGCTGTGAAGAGAAAATAATTAAACACGTATTTAATATCAGAAATATAAAGAGGTAAAAGCAGTTAATTTTACCCTTGTTTTATAAGGAAATAATTAATATTAACATTGTTATAATTGATAGTGGTTAAATAAAAATTAAAATAGCTCCAGGATGGCTGGATATTAGAAGACAGATATAGAAAAGCAAATGCATATTGTTTTCCTGTCCTCATTCACTACTCAGAGAGCATCACAGAGCTATTTTGACAGTTTTTCTACAGGTTCTTCCTTATCTAGGGTGATTTGTGGCCGCCGGGGGTGGCCTCCAAAATTACATCACACGTAGCCTTTGCCTAAAAGAAGAGATCTTTATCTCTTCTATAAAGATATTTGGAGCTATTCATTTTTTTGTGTGGAAAAAATGAGTTTTTCCAACTTTTTAGAATTCAGAAAGACTTTACTTTAAAACTGAAAGAGCTGCATTGATTTCTATAAATTAACAATGCACGCATTTAAAGTCCATATGAAATGTTCTTATTCTATTATTTATAATACAGACATACCCGCACGTGCAAATTTTCTTAAAAATGCTTGGCATGAATTTCATATAAAAGGCATACTTTTGGAGAGTTTCTAAATTAGAACATGGTAGATGTCCATAAAAACTGCTTTTGATTCTCTGAAATCCTTAAAAAAAATTCTAAAAAATAAAAAACTGACATAGGGCTGGCGAGATAGCTCAGCAGACTAAGTGCTCGCTTAGGCAAGTGCAGGGGACAGGGTTTGAGCCCTGGCACCACATGCCACTAGGGTCCTGCCTCCCAGGTACGCTGAGCTGGCGATGGAGTCTGGGCGTGGTGGCACACGCCTATAATCCCAGCAGTAGGGAGGCTGAGAACAGGACGATCACTACCAGCACAAGCTGCATACTGAGGCCCTGCACAATAAATAAATAAAACCTGAAAGAAACCCCAATTTTTCTAAACTTCTGACAGAGTAGAAATAGAAGCAATTTCAAAGGCATATGTATGGAACAGATATTCAATAAGTACTTGTCAAATGACTAGCAAAAATTATCCAGCAAAGTTTCAGGTCTGAGTAAAACTTCAATGAGTAGTACGACTTCTCTGAAGGGCATGTAAGCCTGTCCCCTAATGCAATCATTTCTGTTCCTTTAGGAGAAAAAGTAGCACTGATATTGGACTCCCTGAGAAACTAGAAGTCAACCTCGGAGTAGCTAAAGCTGAAGAACATGGAAAGCTCCAAGTTAAAATCCAGGCTTTTGAAGACAAAATAAATGCTGAGAGCAATAGCCCTGGATCTCTCAGAAGATATAGCTTGGGCCACATTTCTAAGGAAGAAAGAAAAAACATCCGATTTAACAGGTATAAATTTCATTCAGTTAGTTTTTTAAAGTATACATTTTATGTTTGCTATTGATTTTGCTACCATGCTGTCAGAGGTGCTTGTCATACACATCTGTTTCCTAGGGCCACCCTGGTTCTGTCTCCTCATGAAGAGATATCCACATTGCTCTTATTATCCAGAGAACTTCACTGTATTAAATGGGAAGTGCAAATCAAAAATAAGCCTACAGCTTATTTTTTTAAAAACACTTTTGGGACATAGGTGTGCCAATCTTGAAAATGACTGTCAACAGCTTCTCTTGATTCCTGATTTTTAAAAATTAGAACCTCAAAAGGAAAAGAATAAAAACATGCAAGACAACTATTTCACTGCCAGTTATGACATGAAATCAATTTTTAGAACTTCGATTTTGGAGGTGACCTGGACTTTTCAAAGTTGTGGGTCATTACATAATTTAGTGCTCTATGTTTCATCAACCTGTTAACCACTTTTTTGGGGGGAGGCTTGGCTCCGAATGCCTTCAGGGCAGGTTTGGCTGGCTTGAGTTGTGGGGATTAAACCACAGGAACCTGAGCCTGACTGCTTTGTGGAAGCAGCCACTTAAAGAACTGAGCTAAGGGGCAGGGCCCCTGTTAACCATTTTCACACTTCAGAGTGGTGCACAAGTGTTAGTCATGCCCCAGTGTCATTATTCTTTTCTTCTTCAGCAAATGTTAATTCAACTTCTTTAACCATTTTAACTAATCCTTTTTGTATTGTAGGTCTAAAAGCGTGGCTTTGCACACTGTGCTCATGAAGGGCCTGAGTTCAGATGATAGGGAAGATGAGGATGGCACAGGAAGAGCAGTCAGCATCTCTCTTTCAGAAATAGACCCACTCAGCCCTGGAAGGGGCAAGCTGCTCCTTAAAACAGACACCCACGGGGCACAGCTGAGAAACTCTTCAACTTCACACCCAAGTATTGCACATATAGAATCAGGAAATGTTGAAGAAACTATTAAAGAAAACTTCCAGGGACAAACTCCAGAGAAAATCACAAATCCTACAGAATACCAAGATAAGCTCTACTTGTATCTGAAGGAGAATCTCGGTAAAGTGAAAGCATATGCCTCAGAAATCATGAAGAAGATCCCGATTCCTGATCAATGTACCATTGAAGGTAAGCGCTCTGGACCACCACCCCCTGCCCCCCAAACCTGAGAAACCTCAGGTGTCACTGAAAAACAAGCACAAACCCCCCAATTAAGAAATTACCATATCCCTTTATGGGTCTTTTTATAAAAGAGATCATCTTGAAAATATTTTACATTATTTTAGTTAGCTTTCTTTGTAGTTTGGTTAATCAACTTGTTAATTCCCCTTGAGACTACTTAGTTTTATCTGTGTCCACAAGCATTCTGATTTTTGCAAAACTTTATGGCAAGTTTCCAGTTTCATGTCTCCAATGTTCAGAAAAATCCTGAAAAGAAATCTATGGCTTTGTAGCAGGTTCTAAGGTGGGGGTCCAGCCAGTGACATTTCTACCTAGATAATCTCACAAGAAAGCCTGGAACGCCCCTAAATTGCAGCTCCAAGAGATTTGTCTTTCACTCAGCTACTGTGTCCCAAGTACTGTGCCATGAGGCACTCAAGGTTTAGACAGCAGATACAATCCTTCATCTTCTTGTAACAAGAAGACAATTGCAAAACCAGTCAGGAGGTCAGGAGCCAGTGAGAGTGTGAGCCAGGCAGAAATCAAAGGGCAAGGTCAAAACAAGAATGCCAGAGGCCAGACTTCCTTAGGAGCATAGTTTAAGGTAGCACCAACCAACAAATAAGTACCGGCTACCGAAAACACAGAGTAAAAATTTAAGTAATGATAAGATCAATGACAGTGTCTTCCTAGCAAGCGCAAGGGCCTGAGTTCAATTCCTGGTTCTGCCAAAAAAATAAAAAATAACAGTGCCTTTCAAGCCATATCACTCTTAAGAATAATTAATAATTGGGGAAAAGGGAAATGATTAACTGTGAATCTAATAATTTTGATTTTTTGTTCATCAAATATCTTTTCTATTTTTTCTTTGTCTGTTTTGAAACATGGTCTTGCTCAGTAGAGCAGGCCAGCCTTGTGACCTTAAAATCACAGCCATCCTCCTGCTTCAGCCTCCCAGACACGGGGCTCCAGGCATGTGCACCATGCACATTAATTTCATTTTTGAAAATACGTATTTACTTTGATGATTAAACTCCCCAGTTCACTTTTATGTTTCATGGAAGGGGTTCTGGCATTCTGACAGGACATACCATCTTTTCAGAGGCTACAACCATACAGAGAAAGCTAGACAGTCCAACCTCCAGAAATACAGACAGACGAAGGACAGGGATCCCTAGTGAATTTGCCCACGTGCTGGCTCCAAGAGTAGGTGTTACAGCATCCTTTTCCTTGTACTCCACTTTCTTTTTTTTTATTTTATTTTTTTTTATTTTTCAACAAATAATACACTGCATATATTCTTCTTAGTGGTTAATTGCTGTACTGTACTCCACTTTCCATTCCTTTTCACACATCAAATCCCAGGAAAGTGTGGATTGGTGAGCTAATCAAGGGAAAAAAGGTTCAAGCATTTGGTGAAAGCATGTCCTTGCGGAATCTGACATTTGCAAAAGTGTTTGCAATAATTTGATTAGGCTTCTTAAAACTTTTTTAAAGTAGTGACAATAAAGTAATATTATTCCATATCCAAACTTAAGTTTTAGATAATGAAGGTTTGGATAATTTCCAAGGCATAGGAATACCTAAAATCAGTAAAGCTCAGTCAAAGTAAACATTTTGTAGTTGTATGTTGTGCAATAAAGGTAATTGCAGATTAGAGATTTTAATGTAAGAGAGCTGAAACCAATTTCCAAGCTTGACAGAGAATCTATAGCTGGCAATCTAAAGATACATTTTTCCATTACGTGAAATACATGTGTTTAGGTGCTTCAGTTTTGCTTAAGATATAAAAGTTTTGCTATATGGTCAATTTTAATTTTGTGGAAATGTGGAAGAAATCCTACAGAATTACTTCAAGTATCTAGTTGTCAAAACAGATACTTCTTATTACCTTGAATTATTTGAGGAGTTAAAATTAGTTCGAGATATAACTAAATGACTAGTTTTTCCAAAATATTGCATGAATCCATCATCTTTACTTTAAAAAAAAATGTATTTTCTTTTGTTAGTGATATTTCCTATCAGGGATGACCTGAAACTGAGTGTTTTAAATTGACATTTTGGAATTCATTCATACTTATGCAATTTTCTGGGAAATTCTTTGCATAGGGATCTGTATAAGGGATGGAAGATTTATATGACTCACTGTTACTATATCCACCAGAAGGAACGCAGGCTGACTGCAGGGGACATGCAGCCATTGTTTCGGAGACTGTGTATACCATTCGGTGAATGCCAGCAGATGACGTCTGGCTGACACAATTTTATTCCTTGTCATAAGATCACTCAGCACAACAATATTACACTTCTTTCCTTAAAAACTTATTGAAGAAAGATTTGGGCCTAGAAATTGTGTTATATTGAGTGTATTATTAGTATGAAAGAAATATATTTGATCTCTTTTGATGAATCATGCAATTGAGAAACAAAAAACACACTTCTGCAATATTTAAAGTTAAAAAAACAATCAGGAGAAAACAACAGACAAAGATTTTGAACTGATGTTACTGTTAAGAACATGATGAAATAACTATTTAAAAACTTGATTGATTGTATTTTTAATTTTTTTAGATTATTTATTTATTTATTTATTTGGTGTAGGGTCTCACTATGCAGCTTGGGCTTGTAGTAATCCTCCTGTGTCAGCCTCCCCAGCCGTAGGATTACAGGCATTTCGGTGTCTGGCATGGAGTGCCTGGGGTTCTGGGGCCCGCATAGCATGTGGTAACTAGACTCAAACCTGGGTCCTTGCACTTGC